TTGCTTATTGGAAAGAGTAGAATGCATTTGGCTAAGTAGTCAGATGTATTCCTCTTTATGAACTAAATATAATTGAGTACAGGCTTAAAATATAATGTTAAAATATAAAAACTCAAATCTAGCTATATTTTGTATTCGGTACTACAAATACATAGAAAGATGATAACAGGATAAATTACAATAGCAGAATATAAAGCTAGAGTTAACCCACTAAAAACAAACATCAGTTCTTAATTAAGCAACATTAAAGATCTTGAAGTTTCAAATGGGAAGACCAGCTAGGTGGCTATAGAGACACTTAGGAGGTAACATTTTCTGGGTCAGTTCTTGGTAGTCTATGGTCTTATCAACATCTCAGAGTTATTCTTTCCCAAAGAGTTGGCCTTCTCCAATAAAGCTAAAAAAGCTAAAGAAAGACTGATACAGAATCTACAAATGCCTATTTAATCTTTATGTAATAAGAACAAATAATTGTAAAGAGAAAGCACTTTGTCTATGGGCAAACTCCACAGAAAATCAATTTACAATAGTTATTTACCTCCGCATTGTGAGATAGCACGCACTTACATACTTACACAAGTACATATGCAATTTCTTGCCTTTGAGTTATGCTATATCTGTTGTGCTTAGGGTGGGGATACCTATATGTACTAAGAAGAGAAAAACTATCTTCCTAATGTTTAAGCAGCCTTGATTTTAAAAAATTGATCAAATAGCATCGTATTCAGCGAGAAATGGCATAGAAGTTAAAAGTGAAAAACAATGAATGGTGTATATTTTCCTTAGTAGAAGAAAATACATTGTCAAGCCAAAACTAGGCTCTATTTTAGGGTAACTACCTTGGGCATATTTACACAGACATTTTACAAAGATTTTTCATAAATGTGAAAATAAATTTATAGAAAATATATTTGTACTCTAATGTACCATAGTAGTAAAATTTAGTAGTAAAATATGCCTTTAAACTAACAAACCAATCCAATGATAAATTTTAGATATAGTATTTAAATTTATAAATTGAGATTTCTAGATCCTTTTAGTATTATAAAATATAATTTGATTGTTTCTTATTTGCATTCTTTTGCCTATGTATTAATATACTTACAACATGGGGAGTGGGGATGGGAAATCTCTTCCTATCAGCCTGCTGTAGTTGGGTACAGCTTAGAGATTTTGTAGCAAATATAACATTCAGTCAGTGATGATTCCAACTCACCCATTTTGTTTCCCACAGATAAAGAAGGAGGCCCAAGTAAAATCTGCTCTCCTCTTAAACATCCAAACCATAGCTTGAAAATAGCAGTCACTGAGTATAAATACATAGCAACTGAAATCGTGGTTAAACTTCAACTTGTTTTGAAGGCAATAGCTATCTTATTAAAGATCATTTCTGGGGCACCTTGGTGGCTCAGTTGGTTAAGTGTCTAGCTCTTGGTTTCTGCTCAGGTCATGATCTGGTTTGTGGGATCAAGCCCCATGCTGGGCTCTGTGATGATGGCACAGAGTCTGCTTGGGATTCTCTCTTTCATCTCTACCCCTCCCCTGCTCATGCATGATCCCTCTCTTTCTCAAAATAAACAAACGTTAACAAAGAAATGTTATTTCTACTGTATGAGAGAGGTATATTTGCACTTGAAGTTACCTGTTGTACCCAAATTTCTCCTTTTCCCCAAGTGAATTCCAACACCTGGTATCTATTTGGCTTGTTGTATTTGTATATTTTACCTCCCACCACCCACAGATTCTAAAATTAATCCCACAACTTTCCTTCTAATTCTAATACTTTCCCATGGGGTTGCCATCTCTTACTCTCCCTCTCCATCTTTAAGCCCACAGACAGCACTTTAGAATTTCTCATCAATATGAATGTGAAAAATCGGGTAGTGGAAGTGCACAATACAGTATCATTGTTGACAGTTTTAGAACTCAAATGGAGTTCAGAGTAAGAGCAAAAAAATGGACATCAGCTTTCTTCAATCACACTGAGTCAGAGAAAATGATAGCTATAGCATGTGGAGAGAAGTAATCTTGTTTTCTGCATCTGTTGCCTCTCCTCAACTTCTCCTGCAATTTGGTACATTCTATCTTAGCACAGACTATGAGTCAGACAATTCCTTTGCACTGCCTAAAGAGATAATAAAGTGCCCCAGTTATTTGGACATTTGACAATATTTTTCATAATTCATATAAACCAGCATCCAAAATTTTCTATAATATGTTTTAAATAATGAATAGAAGCTCTTTTCTTTCATTGGCATCTAATTATTTTTAGGAGTCATCTCTAGTTTTATTTATATTTTATAGAGTAATAATTTAAATTGAATATTCTTGGGCCCAATAGGTTTGGGTGTAAAAGAAGTTGTATCAGCATTTGTGTCAGAAAACATAGTAACTGCAAAAATTTTTTTCATGTCTCAAGTGTTATAAATCCTATGATTGTTTTACACTGAATGGAGTTGATTCTATTTATAATTTAATATTGCTTGGCAATAATCCTTTTTAATATTGCTGTGAGGTGCAAATCAACTAGTATTAAACATGAACCCCTTACATTTTACAAAGAGTAATCAACAACTATAATGTAACAATTACAATTTGGCTTCTTTTAAAGTAGTTATTAATCCAGTTGGAGGACCCACTCTTTCTTGATTTCTGATAAGTTAGAAGTGTCCAAAGCAGCTGCTATTCATTCTTAATCATTTATTTGCCTATTGAAATCTTTTTCTTTTGAGTGAATTCCTTCAGAAATGTAGATTTCCAATGTAGGTTTAAAAAATAAATGCCACTCAAGGTTCCTTTTAAGCACTTTTGAGCCCAATAAGTGTTGCCAAATAGCAATGATACCGTGATGTGAACCTGACAATAACAAGATAGGTCCCGAACCTCTCCTTGACTTTCCATCATCATTTCTAGTTTTCCGAAGTATTTGGCTTCTTTGGGTTCTACGTAGTCTGACTCAATTCATAATCATCCAGCCCTTCCTCTTCCATGATCCAGAGCTACCAGGAAGCCCCTTCTCCTAACTCAGAGAGGGCCAAGTGTCAAGAAGTCTGCTCAGCACTCTGCTTAAGTCACATACTTCACTGTCCCTGGTGACTGGTGCACCCAAGTCATCGCCTTCTGGCAGCTATACTTGGGATATGTCAGGTTCCTGGAATCACCTTGTTTTAATTGATACTACTAACTGTGAAATATTTGCATTAGTTTACATTGTGTGATTTATGATCTGTAAAGACTTTTTTTTACAGTGGTATGGTAGATGTGTTTCTATATTTATGACTTTGTAACTTTTATATCAATAGACAATTTAGTAGACGATCAACCATCTATAGTCCTCAAACCCAAGCAATTTATAGATTTTACATTTTTGTGATTGTAGGTTCTTTATAGTATGGTCTGTATGCTTCCTTTAGGTTTTAAAATTATCTAAATATCTAATTTGTCCAGTTTCTAAATAAATGAGGCAAAAAATGCTTTGTATCATTCTTCCTCCTTCTTAATTAACTTACCTGTATATGATTGTATTAGTTAGGGCTGCCATAACAAAGTATCAAAGACTAGGTAGCTTAAAGATAACAGAAATTTAATATCTTACCATTCAGAAGCTAAAATTCTCAGGTCAAGGTATCAGCAGGATTGATGTCTTCTGAGACTCTCTACTTGGTTTGTGGATGGTTTTCTCCTTGCGTTCTTTATGTGCTCTTCCCTCTGTGCATGTCTATATTGTAATATTCTCTTTTTTATTAAGAAACCAGTCATGTTGGATTAGGACCCACCTTTTATCTTAGTTATTTCCTTAAAGACACTATCTCCAAACAGTCACATTCTGAGATACTGGAGACTAGGACTTCAACATATGAATTTGGTGAGGGGTGAACACAGTTTGGTTCATAATGATGGCACTCTACAATATTTTGATTTGCAAAACCCCAAAATGTATAAAGCATGTACTTGTTTGAATTTTGTAACTAGCACAGTGAGGAACCAGAGTCATAGCAAGGCCTAGTTACCTGCTTGAGGCCTCTTGTCTGGTAGAAGGCAGAACCAGAGCCTGAGTCTTCTGATTTGAACCTCACTACCTTTTTTCACTAGGGAGCTACAAACTGAAGTAGAACTTGGCATTCCTTGGTCACAGCTTCCCAACATTTTTTACTGTCTTCCTTGCCTGCACTAGTCTCTGAACAATAGGTCAGAATCTCAAAATTTTGCTAAAACAGTTAAAACTCAGTTGATATATATATATCTCAAAAACATATATATACATACACAGATATATATTATATATGTAAATGTGATGTATATATTCATTTTTGCCAAATGGAAAAATGAAACCTATCAAGAAATTTCTAGAGGTTTATGTCATAAAAGAACACACCTCTAAAGCTTTATTTTTAGTAAAGGATAAATTTTATTTCTAGAACTAAAAATTTTTAGAAATTTGGTCTTCCGATGGAGCAGATGCAGGGAAGGTGCAAGGCTGCTGAGCTCTGTTTCTGCATTTCCCACAGTAGTTACGATCTTTAGCGTTTTCACAGCCTAAGCTGCCAGTACCCTTTGGGCAGCCCTCAGCTCTTTGGCTCAGGAAATGACAGCTCTCTCCTACTCCATCAGAAACTGTCAGTGGGTTAACATTTTAGTAATTAAGCCTTCTGATTGGTTAGAGTTGATTCAAATGGGCCATGAATTTACATTTCCTATTAGCCCTGCCTAAATGTCTTTTATAGATCCTGGAGATCATCCTTCTGTCTTACAATTCTTTCTCCTTATATCTTATGTTTATCTTAACTATGTGACTTCCAAAGCTTTCTATGTCTGCAAAGATACAACTGATAACTTCTATCAAGTGAATATCCTACTTTTAAAGGATACAAGTATGAATATGTTTAATTTTACAGTTTTTAAAATTCAAAAGAATAAGTTTGATATATGATTGTAACATGTTTTGATTTCTGCCTTTTTTTTAAAGCATCAAAATAATTAAAAATTCTTTCTTTTGAAAGTTGGCCAGGGATACTTTGCCCAGATCCTTTTAAAGGGAAATATGTGGCCTATGACCTGGATGGAAATGTTGAACAATATCACATAGAATTCCTGGGTGATCCCCATTCAAGGTCATGGATGAATGCAACATTTGTTGGACATTATAGTATCACATTAAAGGTAGGTAGAGTAACATCCAAGTTTTAGTCTTCTTGCACTTGTTTTTAGTTATGGCCATTTTTATCTCAGAACCTAAAAGATATATAATTATTTACTTTTACATTTATATGAACAAAATAGTATATACTATTTGTTTAAAACCAAACATTTGTATTTCTAAAGAAGTTTTTTTAAGGGAAGCGTGGAAACTAGAGTGGTTTTAAATTTTATTTTCCTAATGGCAATATAGTATGAATCAGTTGAGGACTTTACGTAATTGCCTTTTGAAACAATTTTAAGATTATCATTTGGTAATTTTTAAAAATTCCCTTGAGAAGACTCTAAGTTGTAGCCCTAGTTCATAGGGAAAATTAATTATGGAATGTAACCAGAGTTTCAAATTTCAAACAGAATATTTCATTATACTAACTCCTTCAGTATCTTTTAAACTTAAAATCACTCACTACAACTAATGAATAGACTGGACTCTCAGGTTAATGAGAGTCGGTGAAGTGGACCTATTTCCATAGGTTTGGTTTAGTCATTATAAATCAATTCAATTATCTGTGTCTGTGTTCTAATATTGGAACTTTTCATCTGCAAACCATGCCTTCATTAGAAATCTGATTTGAAGATAGATGTCAGAAATGTGGATTCCTGGGGTGCCTGGGTGGCTCAGTTGGTTAAGTGTCCAACTTCAGCTCAAGTCATGATCTTATAGTTTGTGGGTTCAAGCCCAGCATCGGGCTCTGTGCTGACAGCTAGTTCAGAGCCTGGAGCCTGCCTCAGATTCTGTGTCTCCCTCTCTCTCTGACCCTCCCCTGCTCATGCTGTCTCTCTCTCTCTCAGAAATAAATAAAGCATTGAAAAAAAAAAAAAAAGAAAGAAATGTGGATTCCTTTGACTGTTTCTACTTTATAGTGAAAATATATATATATATTCAAATACACATATAAATGTATGTGCATTTAAGCCACACCATTTAATCCAGTGTAAGCAAATCTGTGTAGACTTGAGGTACTTTAAAACAGGTTTTTACTATATCTTTGGCATAAGTACTATCTTTTTTCCATGCAACTTGAAAGAAACTGAAATGGAAGGCCATTTTAATAAAAATATTGAAGCATAAAATAACATATATACTTTCATTCCATGGTAGTTGTGTGTCAATTACCTTAATGTGACACCTTCTCTGCTCTGACACCTTGGATGTGTCCCTAGGCACTTCTGCTGGCAGCCACAGAAGACAGTAAGAATTGTTCAACCTTCTTTGCCCTTCTCCTCTTTCCTAAAGGATGGGGAAACCTGCTAGCTTCTCATGAAGCAGACCTTAGAATCTTAGACATTTGACAATATGTTTAAGAGCAAGGCATTCTTAAATTATATTTAAATATAAGTGAAAACTAAAAGTGGATTTTTAAATTGTCTCAACTAATATTTCTGTCAGGATTTGAATTCTGTCAGAATTAATTTAAGTTGTCTGATTCCAGTGAGCATACCATTAATCCCTGGACAAGGAAAAAATCTGATGTGAAATAAAGCTAAACTCAAGCATCAGTACCCATAAGTTTTTAACTGTCTGAAAGAATTAAAGCAAACTTAGAAATTCTTGAAAAGACCCCCAATTCAGGGCTGCTTAAATAAAGCAGACCCTTAATACAAAGATGAGAACAGGAACAAATAAAGTATCTGTTTCCCCTTTTCCTTCCCCTACTCTCCCAGCTAGCCAAGTACTCCAGGTAGATAACCCACTGGGTGCTCATAGGCTTGGGCGGTTCTCTTTTCTACTGACACTCAGGGTACCTTTCCTACATGCTGTGTGTGTGTGTGTGTGTGTGTGTGTGTGTGTGTGTGTGCATGTGTGCATGTGCATTTGCACAAATGTGTGGGTGTGTCTTACTCTTTTTGTCTATCTTTTTCTTCTTCCCTTGGAGCTGATATAATAGGGATGCCTTTCTCAGTGGGTCTCTTCATTCAGGACTAAAATTTTAATTCCTTTCTACCTCAAATTCAGCTGGCACAAGTCAGATTGTCCCTTTGTGCTCTGATTCCCCACTCCTGCCAATCTAAGGATCTCCACTTACCAGGATGGGAAGACTCATATTGAAGCCTCATTGCCCCAAGCTACTCAAGAAACAGAAAGGAAAGAGGTTGACTCTGGAAGCACTGCCAACCAAAGTAGAAAAAATGGTTAAAAATGTTACATATGAGAAATTGGTTGAAAAAGAATAATTTGATCTATGTATTATCCAGGGATAGCTGAGATTTCCCTGTCCCTGGGAGATGGAAATAGTTTAACCCCCACCTATAGTTCTTTTGCCTAAACTTCCCAGAAATTTAATCTTTTAATGGTCCTTTCTGGACTGGAGCTCCCATATTGTCAAATTCTGTCTCTACACTGTACCACATTGATCCAGATATTAAGTTCACACCCCTTCTTCCATAAAATACATCACTCACATGAAAAATAATGTATAGTAGCCAATTTAGACTTTCTTAAAGATTTTTCTAGAAGTGGAGGAGGATGCACATTGTACAAGTTGTCTGATCTCTTTTTATAAAACTAGCAAAGGATTTGTAATTTTCACTACTTAAACCGACTAAGTCGTATTTCATACATTATTTTAACATCATTTTATCCTAATTTGTGTAAGCTTAGTTTAATAGGTGATTGAATGTTTTCGAGTTTTCACTGAATATGGACTGTATATGTTTTTCAGTGTATATGTTCAGGTAGGAGAGAAATGTTATCTTACAAAGACATTGTTTGCATTTATGAGAAAATGAAACATCATTCTAGTTTTAGATTATGAAAAAATTAACTGTTTTAGTTCATGTTTGTCAAATTTTTTTTGAATAGTCAGTTTTCTCTGGTTGATATAGTTATGGGACTACTGATTTACTAATCTTATCATTGAAAGCACAACAGAGCTCTGTCACTGCCTATTGATAGGCACAGAGGATAAGGTTTCCACCAATAAATAAAACTTCTCATAGATATGCCAGGATATACTTTAGAATACAGTGGAAGGCAATATTTAGGTTGTGTATTTGTAATTTACATTAGTTTACTTATACAATTATTTTTTCATTTACTGTAAAAGCAGCAGCTCTATAGACAGCTGAAACCCATCTGCCCCCAACCCCCTTACTTAGAGGAAATGAATAAGAACATGTGCTGGATGGCTATTTTTTTAAGAATTGATACACAGAATACAGTTCTTTGCACCCAATTACCCCAAATTTTGTTCTTTTATGTTTAGTGGATACATGTCTGCAGAACCCATTATTTGCAGGTTTACCTTTTAGCTTGACAGACTACATGACTTTGTTTAGCATTTCTGAAGTCTGGCTGTGCATTAGAAATCTTTACAAAATAACAACAAAATGACAACAGCAACAAGAATGTAGCAATGCCTGAGCTCTACCCTCCTGGATCAGTTAGAACAGAATCTCTTGGAGTAGGGCCAGGCCTCAGCAATTTTAAGCTCCTCAGATGAATCTAAGGAAGGACAATGGACTAAATTTTCTCAACTTGAGGCATCAGAGTTTTGTTGACTTTGTCTTGACTAGCGTAGTAATATAACTTTGGTTATGGTTTACTGTTTGTTTCCTATTGCCTTCTATTTCTTTGCTTAGTCTTTTACTTTGGTTTGCCTTGAAATTATGCTCACTGCCATATGTTCACATGTCAAACCATAATAATCAGTTTGATTGAACACAGCTTTAAGGTCATTCCTGTCACTCAATGTTATGCATAATTTATGGATATTGCTGACAAAACTGATATATAATTTGAACTTCATATTTTTAGTAGGTTTAAGTTGAACATCCATCTTATTGGTTGTATAGAGTCATTATAATTTTTCTAGGATATAAATAATGCACTCCAACCAATGATTGCTTGGCCTGTAGTTTTCTAGTTTTTCATATTGTCAAGAAAACATAGATAGTTCATCCCTGATGCTATGATGCTCCTGTGGTAAAATTTAAATTCTTTTTAATGTTTTTATTTGTTTCTGAGAGAGAGAGACAGTGTGAGCAGGGGACGGTCAGAGAGAGAGGGAGATACAGAATCTGAAACAGGCTCCAGGCTCTGAGCTGGCAGTCAGCACAGAGCCTGACGCGGGGCTCGAACCCACGAACCATGAGATCATAACCTGAGCCGAAGTCAGACACTTAACTTACTGAGCCACCCAGGCACCCCTCCTGTGGTAAAATTTAAAGGTTTGTTTTGTCCATGATATGAATGGATTTTTTTTGGCTCTGTATTTTAGTGGTCTGCTTACTACTGTACAGAGGGTGTACCTGTACGCGTGCAACTGTGTCTTTGGGGACCAGAGATCATTTGCATATTTACCTGTTGTATTATGGAGTTGTCTGTATTTTCCAGGAAGATGAGCAGGGAGCAATGCCACATTGCCAAAGTTGAGCTCTGCAGTTCCTAGTTCTGTTTTCTAATTGGAGTAGTGTTAATAGTGCTCACTGAAAATTTCCAGGTCTCTTTCCTTCTGTTACAGAGAATTGCACATTTGATACTTGTGGTGGGTGGGGCCAGTGAGTTGTGTGAATTGATGTATGCCACATCTTTTAGCACATAAATGTGTGCAGTACAACATCCTTCGGAGTTCACTCTTTCCCCCATGGTACTGTGAATGATAGCATTTGAGACGTTGATTTGATACTCTCTCAGCCTGGATCCCTGAATGACTGCTCCCTCCCCGTCTCTACCAGATAGCAGATAAGCAAGGTAAAGATGATATAGGCCTTGTGTTAAGCCCTTGGGATTATTCTAACAGATGCACTAATGATGGCACAAAGGATGTCACAGTTCTTCGAACTTGTATCTTTAGAAGGACCATTTTGAAATTTCAGTACTTCAAGGAATTTGGCCAAATGACTATAATCATCGTACTTTAACTCTTCCAGTCTGTCAATAGAAGTAACACAACTTGTTACCCTGTAGTAATTTATAAAATAAGTTTATTTCTTTTCTGTATAATGAAACATGTATGAGTAGA